GTCACTGGTATGGTGGAATGACTGGTTACTGGTATGATATGTCACTAATGAAGGTATAACATGTCACTGGTATGGAGGTATGACACGTCACTGGTATGGTGGAATGACTGGTTACTGGTACGATATGTCACTAATGATGGTTTAACATATCACTGGTATGAAGGTATGACAGATGATCATGCTACAAGTTACTCACTTCAGAGCAGGATTGCTGTGGCGCGGTTATGACGTCACAAGCGCAAGCTGCCATCTGTGAAGCAAGCGCCGGTCAGAGCTACGGACATCAAGCCAGGCTAAAACCAAGGTGTCAAGCCTGGCTTAGACAACCAAAACCATCAAGGCTGGCAAAGTTCAGGGCGTCAAGCCATAATTACCAAATACATTCTTCAGGCTATGCGTCAAGCCAAGGCTATCAAGCCAGACACTCAACCTATGGCTTCAGAGCAGCCCGCGACGCATGACTAGGAGTGGCATGGTATGGGGGAGTGGCTACAGGTGAGAGAGTGGCATGGGGAGGGGGAGTGGCATATATAGAGTGGGGGACTGGCCTCAGGTGGGATAATGGCATAGAGCGGTGGAGTGGCATGGCGTGGAGAAGTGGCCTTAGGTGAAAGAGTGGTATGGAGTGGATAATTGGCCTCATGTGGGAGAGTGGTATGGAGTGAGGGAGTGGTCTAATGTGCGGGAGTCACCAGAGTGGGAAGGGTGTCGCTCAGAACGCCACTAACTATCTTTAACGGCTGGCGAAGTAAAGTTTTCGGCATTATTGCATTTCATTTTTCAAGTAAATTACAAATATTGTCATCCAGCGCTAGATCCATTATGTACAACTTGTATAGCAGCTCTCGCATATATAGATACTCGCATAAAACTAGCATATAATGCTATGCTCCATATTCCAGAGTGATACAAGTTATAGCGGATTATCACCGATAATGTGAGCGGCGAGCAGCTTATTTTATCCATAATACAATCGTTTCTAATACTCATGATAGTAAGACATGAATCTCAAAGAAAGCAAAATAAAAAAAAATCGTCAACTTTAAGTGGTCGCCTCTTGGGATCTTGTGATGGCGTATTTAGACTTGGTCGCATGAAATTCTGGACGAAAGAATATATCCAGTTTCGTAAGTGCTTCCGCTGTTTTTTTTTTGCCTGATGATATCTCGTAATTTAAAGAAGATATTCAATTCTCATGGATTATTTGTAATTGAACATATTACACGATATCATCCCGAATAAGGTTTGCAAAACTATTTCCAATGTAAACTATAAACAAGGAAACAAAGTTCCGTGTTTTTACATTGCTCAAAATATGGCGGGGCAGCAAAGTTGGGTAGGTTCATCGCCTCAGTTTTGTGATTATTTGTATACTTCCACTACACTAAATACTTGAATGATTCTCTGGGGCAGCTATTGCACTCTAGTATTTTTTATGTTAATTAATTTCATTTTGATGGTCGTAATTCCAGTTAGCAAGCTCCGCAGCCGTAACCTTGTAAGCCCAAGGACTAATTAGACGCTTGAAGTATCTTCATAAAAAATATAACTCAGTACTCACTGCAGTGAGTGACAGAGACCGCATATTCTCGTCGACGAAAACGTGAAGTCACGAACGGACAGACAGACGGACATGGCAAGCACAATAGCGCATTTTTTTCATAAATGAGAAAATGCGCTAAAAAGATTTATTCTTTAGAGAAATTGACGCAAGGCGAGGAATTGACCAAAAATTGGATTTCAACTATTTTTTGGTGAGAAGCTTTTAAGTAACTCATGTTAGGAAGTTTCCTTCTATAAAGGCAATTTGTAGGTAATTGTTGGCAAGAAATGTGCTCAGATCTCACCACAGAGTTACTTGCTCCGGGAATCGAATTAAAGTTTTGCTTTGAAGAATATTCAAACAATAACTTAAGATGTAACTAAATTTTTTGATGTAGTACATCTCGCCTTCATTTATGATATTCAGGCAGATGATGGGGTTCCGTAAATGGTTTGAACTTTTAAAGTCGAAATTTTCCATAACAATAAAATGATACAATAAAATTGAAAAAATTTCAATTTATAACTCGCAAGGTACAACTCTAAGGAAACATTTCCTTTAGTCGATTTGTGCTTTTCAATCTAGATTTTTTTTTTTTGCCACTATAACCAAACACAATCGCTAGATTCCATGGTGCGCTACATACATTTCGCTACATACAATGCATGTATGACGATGTCCCATGAACATGATGGGACATCATGTCATCATCATGTGATAGGACATCATGTCCATCATCATGTGATAGGACATCATGTCCATCATCATGTGATGGGACATCATGCCATCACATGACGGCTGTTAACTCTACCAGCATCTGCCGCTCCTCAAAAGTTGCAAGCACGAAAGTATATGTCCAGTGTTTGGCCAAAAATAATACATATACAAGTAAATTACGTAAGGCAGTAAATATCGATTTGAGAAAAGTTCATGCGATGAAATGATGGTTGGAAATATGATATATACGAAAAAGCTTACGATACAAAAGGCAATGCTAACTACGGACAAAAACTACAAGAAATCATCAAAATGCTTCTATTTTCTACAGAGATGATAATCACAAAAACATACGAAAATTATTAAAATGAATCGAGCAATTTAACGAGACGAACAAGGGTTAGCATATTTACATCATGGAGGCAGGTGTGCGGGATGACAACTTACCTTTCTCAGTTGGCGAGGCCAGGGTGAGTGAGGACATGGAGGAGGACAGGTTAGCTGAGGCCACGGACAGCATGGAGGGATACTGGGCCAACTCCTGCTCCAGGCCATCATCTCCAGGTAGGCATGTCTCCACCATCGCCTCCAGGCAGTTCACGAACAGCTCTGCGTTCTGAGCGCTGCAGTTACTCTGCCCAGACATGCAGAGTTATGCAGAGCTCGGTTGTATTGCAAGGTGTTCGCCTTAACGCGAAGTAAGGGAGGTCTTAAAATTTAGCTAGCAAAGGTTTAAATGCTACAAGCCCTCTTCCACCTTGGTCTGAATGATTGACCATCGAAGGTCTGAGAGACAGATCAATGTAAACCTTTCGCCCAAACCTTGGTGTTAATGATGTGCAAGCAAAGATCTAGAAGACACATAGTAAACGGTCCCCCACCTTGGTAAAAGGGCCAGCAAAGCGCCAGAGTCCCCCGAAGCCGCACCCCTGCAGGTGGTAGAGGGCCTGGTGCGCCGCGTGTTGGTCCTCGCAGGCCACCAGGTTCAGGATGATCGCCTGCACCGCGTTCAGGATGACAGGATCGTGGCACAGCGACAGCACGTTCGTTATCTTGGCGTCCAGCAGCGAGTGTCTGCAACAGGCGTAATGGGATTTTTTGGATGTGGTGATGGAGAAAACCATGTTCAGCGTCATAGTGACGCGAAAAACCCTGTTCGTTATCTTGGCGTCCAGCAGCGAGTGTCTGTAACATGCAGTGTAATGGAGGATGTTTTTGGATGTGGGGATGGAGAAAATCAGGTTCAGCGTCATAGTGACGCGAAAAAACCCTGTTCATGACCTTTACGGCAAATAGTGAGTGTGTATTGAAGTTGAACGGAGGATCTTTCCGGTAAAGAGCAACAAAAATGGTTACAGAAAACATGACATTCAGCGTCACAACCAGTTACAGTGATGAGAAGAATTACAGTTCGTGATTTTGGTGTCAAGAAGATCGCTAGGTAATGTACCCAATCTGCGTACACTAGAAAATTCAATGAGAAAACTTAATCAAAATGGCACGCAAGCAGCAAATGTCGCTGAAAATCGTAACGGAATCTTAGCATCATGGCCCAATGCAGGTGAATGAAATCATTATTGAATTCTTTTCACAAAATTAGTGAATATTAGAATAATTTGGGAAAATACAGCTGCAACAAATAGCGAGAGTCACTCACATTACGGAGAAGACGCGCGGGAAGACAACCGAAGCCTCGGCCAGATATTCGTAGAGTACACGCATCTCGTTCTCATCGTTCGTGTACTTCACTAATGTCGCCATGACAGTGAGCACCAGGATCTGCGTCGTGTACTCGGTGAGCACATCAGGGTCTAAGAGCACATTGTTCTCATTGCTCACGCTCACGCGGGAGTTGCGCTCTTTGTTGTTGCCTGACATTGCGCTGGCACCTGTACACAAGTGACGGAATAAAGACAATATCTTGCATGGCTGCTTGAAATTATAAACTTAGCTATTTATAGCACCACGTACCCCTACATGACTGCCCAGCACCACGTACCCACACATGACTTCCCAGCAGCACGTACCCACACATGACTGCCCAGCACCACGTACC